ATTCTCGGATATCATGACTATCTACGCGGTTGAGATATGGTTGTAAACGTTACGTGTCAATGCCTGTCGGCTCGGGGCGTTATACGAAATTAAAAACAAGCATGTATGTTGTACAAATACTTTTCGAGCCGCGGTACTTCACGTACGTATGCAGGTGCAAGGCCCGGTCTCGAACGACGACAATTTGGTTATAGGAGACCGAGCAATACCGAGGGATAAGAAGAATACAAGGTAACTACCTACACATACAAGTGTTATAACATGTCTGGTACCTCTATATATTCCATAAGTCCACGCTTTCCCTGCCTTGTCATGATTTGCTCAGCAACAACAACATGGCACGGGTTTCTATATCTCAGGGCTAAATAGATATCGTTTTCACCAACAAGGGAGATGTTTCTTCAATCTTACATGGCCAAAAGCCACAAACAAGTTTCCAAAGGACTTGTTAAACATAATGCATGCTAATACCAATTCGATATGTTGGTGGAAGCCCTTCACCGAGCGGCCCGGTTACTACTATATTTCCTCAAATATTCCTCCTTCCAGCACAATCATTCCGCAGTGCCACATCCACTGGTGAGAAAAACTCCGGGAAAGCTGCTCATGGGTTACCTTGCATGGTATACAACCTAAGACCCACTAACCTCGACAGGTATCCAGCCTATTCTCAGTGCAGATTCTGCATACACAATCTCATTAACCTAAACAATGCTAGAATGATGACATCGAGTCATGTCGACCGACTTTACCCCAGCCCCCCCAAGCGTCGGCACCTCAACACGCGTGAGAACTTGTCACTTGTATGCATTTTCTAAGAGCTAAGAGCTCGAGAGATAGTTCCATGTTTTAGTCTTATCAGCCCAAGATGCAAGGGAGCGCGAGTCGCTCCACAACAAAGTCCATCAAAGACTATTAGTGACCAGGGGAGATCGAATTGATCGAATCGCCAGATAGAACCTGGGGCGGGAATCGCCGCAGGACAAATCAACTAGATTACGCATAATGCCCAGACGCCCTCAGCTGGCTGGCTGGCTGGCTGGCTACCATCCACCGATTCGCGCGCTTCACAGGATATGGCATGAAACTCGAAGTGACAAACAAGTACACTCTATTCATGCCTATTCATGCCTGTTTTTGGGGTAACTCTCACCTCGTCACACTCTATCCTGCGATATTTGCAGCCAAGGAGGGTGGTATTTCGGGCGAACACAAAAAAACGGCCATTTTCGTGCGGATCAGGGCATTTTAGCACTAGTAGACCGCATCTATAAGAGATGAGTCGTCTTACGCAATTGCGCAATCGTCTACTTCAAGGTCGACACGAAATTGCATACGATGATGCTTGTGCAAAATGTAATCCTACCCATATCTCCAAGATCCTTGGGAACAGTACCCACTCGGCTGGATCTGCAAAGGACCCCTGTTTGCCAAGCTGCAGTGGCGATCATGCATACAACAACACTACCTATCCCTTTTCTACACTCCTCCATACCACACACGGCCAGGCGCCTAGAGCCATGATACTACTACACGTGTACGTATATGAGGACTTGACTACGCACTATGTACGTGGTCTGTGTCGAACCCAGTCCTGACACCGATATTCGCATCGCAAAAGCATCTGGTGGATAATGGAACTCGGCAAAAGAAAGACACTTCGGCCAGGTACCTCAGCGTCTTGCCATTGACGTCAACGATGTTGGCGTCAAATCAATGCGCCCTTGGAGGAGATTTCCTTTTTGTGTGGTAAAAAGTCAAGACTTTGAGGGACATACGATATTGGGTAATTTCCCCGATGCCCTCACATATGCAGTGAAGTGGGGGGTGTTGGTAGAGATTTTTTGCTGATGTACTGCATCTTCTTGTTCGAGAAACCAAGTCGTTGTTCGCACGCGCACTAGATTTGACTAGGGGAAATGAGACGTTGCTCGCTCGGGTCGAGCGCTCGGCAGTAGCGCGGATAGCAAGGTGTTACTTCGCTGTAGGTGTGCTCGATCTCCGCGCTCTAGTCGCGAGACGCGATCCAACGATCCAGCCACAATCCCCGTCTCAACCCGACGGGCAGGGCAGCGTTTATCGGGATCGTGACCGCTCGGCCATACTTGTTTTACCCCTACTTTTCTCTTCACCCTTTGGGGATTCGGAACGTCCGAACCGTGCCAGCATCACTATGACATCCTAGCCGTATACGGGCTCTTGATGCCATGAGGGTAGTATCCTCAAATGCTTTCTTGTGCAAATATGCGGGCTGTTCTTCTTTCGATCATCAATGCGTCAGACGTGTGGACCACGTTATATCATCACTCGAAGCATGGAAGGGTAGGAGAGGAGGCGGAGCGAGCGGAACAACACACAAGCATTGGGACGTTTTTGATGTATTTTGTGGTTTCTAGTGTTAGTTTCGGATGGGCTGCCGTGACACCAAATGTCAGTGGTGTCAGAAGGTGTGTAAGTACAGTACACTAGGTTAGCGGTGTCTGTTGGTCTCTTGGGTGTACTACTTTGTACGAGATCGGTCTAAGGTAGGAACCACAGCGATCTGGCAGCGATTGGCGCTGCTTTCTGGTTCAGATGGTGAGCTGTCGCTTGTAACTAGCCTGCTAGATCCCGTTACACTCGTGGAATGGACGGGGTCGCTAGTGATGGTGAGGCGGGTTTCACAAAAGCACTGTCTGTTCTTTGCAACGTGCTGCTGCTATCATTACCATTAGTTAGTTGTCTTAGTGCCTGCAGAATAATTACAGGATAGAGATCACTGCCGATCGTATCATTGCGTATCATCGCACCAGCTGTACTGGGCAACATTTGCGAACGAGAGAATCCGTACCGTGTCTCTTCTGCGAATGGCTGAAGGATAACCAACCATCCATTGATTGCGTGTCTCTCAATGTCCCAGTGGCTTGCATATAACCCAGCCAATATTTCTCGGTCCTATTGAGACTACAGGCGCCCGTTTGACTGACCTGTGTGTCCTTACCGCCTGCCTGGAAGATGTGGTGGCTTGCTGCTGAAAGCGCAGGATAATGGGCGGTTTCGGTTGGTTATCCAAGCCACCGGGATTGCTAACATGAATATAATATACATAAGTAGCAACTGAAGACAGTAGGTAGAGCAACTTCTCAGCATCTACGTTTTCAATTGACTGCAAATATCCTACGTGTAGAGAATGGAAGACTTGTAACGCATTGGCAAAGATTCGCACGAATTTCATGCGGGATCCTGGAATCACCAGGGTTCCTTTCACTGAGGGCGAGCCATGCGATGCGTACAACTCAATAGCTGAGAAATGTTTGGCTGGCTATTTAAAATCCGGCTGGCAAAAAACAACCTCCCCGACTCCCTTGCTTTCGGCCCCATTCAGAAGAATTAACCAGTCGATTTTACAGATCGATAGTAAAGGCAATCAGATCGTATGTTCGCTAAACAAATTCCTTTTTCTGATTCTAAAAAGGATGGAGACGAGACGTCAGAATCTGCCTTTTTTTTTCGACATGTCATCCGTGGCTGGCTAAGAATTTATTGGACTGCTGCTGTGTTATCAGTTTACATGTCTTAGGGCAGAATGAAAATATGAGACGTTTAAATTATTTTCGTCAATAATATTTCTAGCTAGCTTGAAAGCAACCAGAGCGACATGAACGTACATTAGCATAATAGACTTACCAGTAGACTTACCCAATACTGGTAGACACATCCAAATCATTAGTAACAATTGCGGTAAGCATTAATGTTGTTTGCCCCTGCGCCAGAAAGCAGTCTTAACTCAAAACTTGCAAGTGACAAATTCTTGCAATCTTGCCTGTAGGTAGCGTAGGTAGCACGTAGCACGGAGCATGTAGCATGTAACTGTAATTTCTATCCGCTCGTAAGCTTGATATAATAAGAGGATGCTTGTGACGTACCTCCTACGTTCTGGTGTATGAAGGGGTAAGGATTATTTCTTCATGGATCTCCAAACCATGAGTGGAATAATTTACCTGCGCTTCGAGCGGAGCCTTCACAGGCCATGGATGGATTCTGGCCAGAGCAAAAGACCAGAGAAAGGAGCCGAGTATCCATGCTTGTTCGACGTAACCATCAAACTGCATGTCTCCATGCGCCTTATTCGGTCGCATCGAGCTCACCGGCTTGCTGCAGAGGTTCCCCCCGATCACCCCGTGACATGAAGATACTTACAAATCTGGGGCCTGATGCACCAGCCACCGACCAAGCGGTCTGACAGGCCTCACGATCCCTAAACGACGTCTAGACCAATGGTTCTCGTCACATGTGATGAATTCGAAGTGCGGCCGCGAGGGCCCTTAGAAATATGCCTTATCTCAGTATTGGCGATTCAAGTTTAGAGACTCCGATTATTCCCTTGCCCATTTCAACAGAGCCGAATCATGGGATCTTGGCCGGTGATGACGACATGGCGACAGTAAGTTACCACTTCCAGGGAACAATACTAGGATTCCATGAATATCAGAGTTACATCAACAAGATATGTATGTGACATGGGGCTCGCAAACAGTTGCAAGAGCAACACACAAGCGGAGTGACTACATTGCCTAGTGCAAGAGTCACTGGAAGATGATCGTCAACTGCATTTTGATTACTACTTGTATTCTAAGATCGCTCGGAGGCTCAAGCGTACCAAAACAAACTTATGTCAGACTGGCAGCAACCATAGACAAATACAACATCTAGGAATACTCATCACGCATGCCGCAAGACTGTACCTTATTCATGAATACCTTACCTAATGTGCCATTCTGTTTGTATGCCAATTGTTTGATGAATCCACCCTTAGCTTCAATTTTCAGAGCCCACAAAATTGAAGAAATCGAAATATACCAGTAAATAATCGCCATATTTATGTACCCTTCTACTAAAAGTGTTCCACGCTGACGCCTACTTCTAGTACAATTTTCCGCACGTGGCAATATCCTAGTATTGAGCTACCGCTCCGACGGACTTGATTCAGAACAACGCTACAAGAAACCCCATCAGTTCTATCTCGATTGGTCTAGTGGTCAGGATACCTGCTTGTCATTGATTTTCAGCGACTCAAAATTCACGATACTGAATTTAAGTGATTAAGAAAATAAGCCGCAGGTGGCCGGGGTTCGATTCCCCGATCGAGAGTTGTGTCTGTTGATGCCGTTGGTAAAATTTGTTAAACTTTTTTGTCCCACGCGCCCAGCTCAAACTCCCCTTCTTTGGCGTCTTGAGGGGGGTTAAACTTTTGTGATTTCTGCTGTATAAAACTACATATCAGACTGGTGACAAAATCTAATTTATGATTTAACACACGTAATAATCATCAGTAATTGACCGGAGGGAATGATGTCACCATCACCAAAACTTTCAGTTGGGGGCCGTGTAATCAGTACGTTAACTCCTTACAATGTTACTTCTGTGGCAAAGAACGTGCGTGTGTATAGCCAAGGACTAATCTATGAAGGTAATTTAGACTCATCTATGCAACAACGATAATCCCTACCTACCCATATGCTTGGCCCTGGGGTCCTAACAATGTCATGGAACCAGAGCAGCATTAGTCTAGACAGCAACACTGCTACAAAAGTAGACCGTAATCAAGATAAGCCTTAAATTTTGCAGTTTAAGTGCTGGAGGCTTGAATTACTGTTTTTGGTAAAATCTTGGCTCTGTTTCGGGAGTCTGCAGATTGGCCAGTTACTCGTATGCTCACGGCCGAAACCAACAACAAATTCTAGCAGCAGATTTTACAAGCATAATGAAAATATTGACGCCATATGTGCCACTATTACGAGTGTAACAAGGGCTGGAGTACTAGGGCTTGGAAGGGTATTTAGTATGGCAATAATCTTCTTGGGCTTCAGGGAGGCCATATAGGCCTAAGTTCTTGCCGCGGCGAACCTAGGTTTATAGATACGAATAGCTTCGCTCTTGCTGTCCTAGATATTTTAGATCTGTATCGCTATTATCATGGGCTTGAGCAAACACGAGAATTGCGATCATGATATTTATGAATAGGCACGGGTAGCTGAATATAAGAACACCGCCTTGCAAATTAATTATATGGTATCGCCGACCTGACCCTGGCTTACGGGTAGTTGCATTCCCATGCCTAGGGCCAGTCCGTATGATAACGCGATACAGTGCACAATTACAGAGAAGAAACTAGATACTGCAGAGGTATATTTGAAGGTCTCAAATACCAAATACATCAGTACTAAGCCTGTCAGCGAGTTGACCGTTTCTCCTCATGAGCCCTCCTCATCCTTCATCCTCGCAAGGGATCAACTAGATTAGATCAACCTCTAGCAAGTGAAGACAGCGGGACCAGCAGGCTGGTAAGTCTTGCGGCCGTTATTGTAAATATTGATGAGAAGACCAGGGTCAGTGTTCTTGTACGCGCCGGGAAATGAGACGAGATTCGACGGCGTCTTGGAGCCCGAACCCCCCGAGACTGTGATCTGGGCACACGAGATGTAGAATTGCGCGCCGTTTGCTGAACTCGCGCTATGTTCGTAGTACGTATGTTAGCCAGTCGTTTAAAAAGGGATCGTGGAAACACAACGGAAGATAGGAGGGAAACAGGAATTTTTTGGTTTTTAGTCATGGTGAGTTGTTGATGAAATCAGTATTTTCCTTAAGTCGTGCCGGAGGATAGAAATAGATGAGATAGTAGGCAGCACGGCGTAAATGGACTGAACTCACCTGTGGAGGGCAACGTGCTCGATACGGAACAGGTAGTCGCCGCTAGCGATACACTGCGGAATAGTAAAGCTAACCTGAGACTTTCCTGAGGTGAAGATTCATATCAGTACCGGAGAGCAGTAAATATTCAACCACAACTAGCCGACGACATCTTTCCTCCCGCTCTCGCCGTTGAACACCAAGTATCGTATTGCCATCATGTCACTCTCCCGCCACTTCGCCTCAGTCACGAAGCCAAAACTCTACCCAAATAGGGAAGAAATAATAACTCACCATTGGAAGGCCAGGTATATTGTCCGCCACTGGCAGTCGGCATATCCTGGAACACCTTAAACCACACAGCCCCCTTTCCATCCCACGTAGCTGCCGTCTGACCGCTCGGGACCTTTGCCATATATGCGGACAGTGCTCCTGGATGGTAGATATTTGGTGCTACCGTCCAGCTGATCTGGCCACCTGCGTTGACCTTGGTGATATCAGGCGCGCCCCCCGGTGCCCTCTCGTAGCAGCGGATGGCGTCGCTTGTCACGTCCGTCACGGGCCCATTGCTCTGAAAGTTAGCCGTCTGTTGACAGACCGGGAGTCAGTAATTCAACATTCCGTTGCTGGCGAAGAACAACTCTTGCTCTCGAGTCGATGACAAACGAACCAGCCCGGGATACTAACCTGGCGCACCGACGACCAGTCTGATGTCCCGGTCAATTTGGGGAACGTATCTGAATATCGTGTCAGTGACTAGCATGCATATACAACAGCCTAATTACTTTCCCAGGTCACAAAGCCCCGAGATACGACCAAGGGATATAGAATATCATGAAGACACGACAGATCGAAATTACCAATGTAGAGACACAACTCAGATAGGTGAACGTACAATGAGGAGCGGCCTGGATTGCTCCAATAAAGAATGCAAGTGCTGTCGTAGCCTTCATGGTTGATGATAAATAATACCAGCAAACGATGACAGCGTATGGCAAGATTCCGGCGTGACTAGGATGAGCCCCAAAACTACGAGGTCTTATGTGCGGACGAGGTGCCCTTTTCAAGATGTTGACTAACTAGGGAGGATGCAACGAACGGAATATACCTGAGGTCATACCGACAACGGCATAATAAGCCTCGGATGTAGCAGACAAACAATGACAAGCAACAAACCAGCCGTTCCGACAGAACGAAGGCGCCATAGTAACATAGAGCCAAGATAGAAAGACAATCCGAGCGGAAGGTAACTTGCGAGAACCGGTTAAATGGAGGTGGGCCATATATATTGTGTATCCATTCACGAGGTGCCCTGTTAAAGGAGCCTACGGATCCCTGGCTGCTGGGTCCGGCAAAGTATGAAGCAGTAAAATGAATGCCTGCGGCGTTATGGCATTGACAACGTTGGTCATCTCATTCGTGGCTGAGGATACATCATCACAAAACCTGATAGAACGCGTCACACGATTATTAATCTGAACATATGTTTCATGCTACCTATCTAGACGGTCCGGTTTGCCTCAAGACGAGTGCAACTTGGACTGGTCAATCTACCTGAGTATCAGACTATCTGAAGTCAACATGATGTGGCTTAGTAGTTCCAATCTAGACTAGAAACGGGTCAGCAAGTTCAACAGCAAAGGTCCTGCGTCTTAAACAGAGGCTATCAGTGGATTCCTTGGAATACACCTTGTGCTGTGCCTCGTCTCAAATTTGAAGTAGCCTTGTGCCTCTCTTTTTTTGACCTTGAGACTCCTGCACCCCTCCAAATGAAATCAAAGGAAGAACGATACGTGCAGTCAGTAAGAAATGCACGACCCAGAGGCCGATATTACAATGTCTAATCAGCCTGACCCTCTAGATAACGCCATCTGTGCTTTTGTGAAATGAGAAAACAACAACATGATCCCACAAGCGTTACGATATCGAATTGTTAGGATGATGTAGGCGCCTGTTGGAAAATTCAGTTACCAGCGTCGGTTACCAAGAGGCATGGCATTAGCGCCGCCACCACCACCGCCACCTATTGGCTCCGTTAGTCTATTTCATCATGACAAGAGAGAAGTTGATGGAACCTACCACGATGACCACCGCGACCGTAGCCACGGCCGCCGTAACGACCGCCGCCGCCACCACCACCATATCGCGCCATTTCGGCTAATCTTGGATCAACTTGTTGCTTAGCCTCTTGAAGAACTCCTACGAGATCACGAGCCTGCTTCGAGTCTAATGGTAAAGGTTAGTTTAGCTTCAATGTGATTAGGGTGACCAGACATACTGTCAGTAGTAAAAAATGTGATCGCGGTACCCTTGGCACCAGCACGGCCGGTACGACCAATACGATGAATGTAGTCTTCCGAGTTGTTCGGGTAGTCATAGTTTATCACATGAGTGATGTTACGAACATCTTTATCACAATAGGTTAGCTCTAGAAAACGAGTTGCTATGGAGCAAGTCCCAGCGGCGGATATGGGTGCCATAAGCATATTGATCCGTGCTCTCTCCATCGAGAATGAAGCTGTGGGGCTGTCTGTTGCATCAACACTGCCAATCTGGAATTGGTCCCAATAGTCTGGTCCGGGTCCTCAGGATTCGGGAATCTTAGCGATAGCTTGACAAAATCAAGAAATGCTCAACCTCGCCTGCATGTACCACAGAAAATCAAGGTACGAGGCGAAACATCGACACGGCCCGTGGGCCATACCTTAGATCCCGATCATCCGGGGGGAAGGAGAACCACAAGACACGATTAGGCCAGACATATGTGCGCAATCAAGAAAGCCCCTAGACATCACAGTCAAGCACATCGGATATAACTCTGCTGGAAGTTGTGGGGAGGGGTTGGGGGTTGGGGAGTTTTAATCATACCAATACCACGAGAAGCCACGTCGGTGGCAACCATGATGGGACTCTTATTTGTCTTGAACTGGTCAAGAACCCAGTCACGCTCGTTCTGTTGCTTGTCGCCGTGGATTGCTACAATATGTTAGCGATGAATAATTCATGTCGTAAGGGGCTGAAACGTACAAAGCGCGGGCCAGCCATCCTGGCGGAGGAATCTCGTAATCTCGTCCGCTACACGTTTCGTGCCAACGAAAAGAAGGCACTTATTCTCCTTGTTATCCATAATCTTCTCGAGGTGCTTGATCATGCGATCACGCTTCTCGCCCTCGGAAACTACTTCAACAATTTGTGTAATACGATGGTTCGCAGAAAGATCCATGGAACCAATGTTGACCTGAATGAAATCGGTCTGGAACTCGGAGGCCAAAGCTCTAACCTCCTTGGGCCAGGTAGCAGACCACATGAGTGTCTGACGATCCGGTCGAATTTGACTAATAATCTTTCGAATCTGTGGCTCGAAACCCATATCAAGCATACGATCCGCTTCATCGAGAACTAGATACGTGACTCGGCGAAGGTTCGTCTTGCCGCCTTCGAGCATATCAATCAGACGTCCC